TCCAATCTTATTAAAAGTATTAATTTATCATGATTAAATTGACCTCTTGAATCTCACATTTGAATGAAAGTGTGACCATAAATGATATGTAAATTTGTAGACTAATTATTACTAATAACTAGAGTTTAAGCTTTTAAGGTTTCAGAAACTTTGGTTGAAAAAGATGTTAGGCTTGTAACAGGTTTCTACCCAAGTCATTTTAATTGATATCAAAGATAACACCTCTTATAAGTGTGGGGTTTATATTAACCATTATAACCAATGGTAATGTGGACCTCACATTACTTAAATATGGATTTTGTGTTTATGAATCAGTGGGTCTTGTTTTAATTGTAATTGGGGTTAATAAGAATATATAAAGGAAACTGTCTCGAATCTCTTATAGGATGAAAGTGTAACCATAAATAGTATATAAGTATATAGGCTTACTACTACTAACAACTTGAATTTGGATTCATCAATTTTCATTGTAAAAGTTGTTAGGTAAGTGACTGGGTTTAGCTCAAGTCATTTCATTTCAATTAATAATTTGTATAATTTAATAATCATATTATTATCTAACACTATTTTCAAAGCAATTATCAAATAATAACATAATTTTTGTTTCAAAACACAACCTAAGTTTATTTAAAAGTTAACTAATTTTGGTATTAAATTGAAATTAATCATTTCTTTTCTACAAATAACTTAAGGATGAGATTAGGCTTATTTGCATAAGGATTAATTGAAGGACCCATATACATAAATTGAGTTAATTGAGAAGCTTATGATAGGAATTTTTTGGGTAAAGACATAGATAAGGACACTAAGTTTACTTTTTTTTAAAAAAAATTTAAATATAAGAAATTTTTCAATTTATAAATAAAATTTTTTTCTAAAAAATTTATTAAATGATAGTAATGATATGACTCACGAATGCACTAAATTTTTAAATAAAAACTTATAAAATTTGTATTTTTATTTAAAAAAGTAAAAGGTGATACCATACCGTGAATTAATATTCTTATTTGTACATTTACTTTGGTTTTGCCCGTCGAAGAAGTGAAAATTCAAGGGGTTGCCAAGTCAGGTTCGGATCGGTGACTTAGTTCGGGAAACTTCAATTTGATTACGTTGAATCTCAGTAGAAATTTTCGGTAGTGGTTCGGTTTCATAATTTGGCTTTGGATGGACCTCCTCTAGATATAGGTATGGTGTCATATATAGCCAATAGGATTTTGCCAAATAACATTTTTGACCAGCAACTTTCTAGCTAACAAAATGCTAATACCTTACAACACTCAACGTTTTAAATTGAGTGTGAAATCTCTGCAAATGTGATGAACTTATACTTCATTTGACAGTTTTTAGCTCTATTGTGATTGTGGATTTTTTTTTTTTTTTTTTTTTT